AACATATGAAAGTTGCTCTGGTAATCTTATGTGGGTAAACTGTAAGTCAAAATCATCATGATCCTTCTAGAAGAAACTAGGGAAGTATAAAAATAGGTGAATGTATGTGCTATGCTACTTGTAGATATATACCTTTCATGTAAATACTTCAAGGATATACAAGGGGAAGTGTTTATTTATATGCAGTCTCTGTCCTCTGTGTGATGAACTTGCCTTATGTTGGCAGATAATTCAAGCAAATCAAAGACTGGAGTGGTTGTTGGTATTGTTGTTGGAGTTTTGGTTATTGTTCTTGCCTTAGTTTTGCTGCTATTTTGCATGAGGGGCCGATCAAAGAGCTACAGGCGTGAGGTCTATGAAGATGTTATAGGTTTGTGTCAATTTTATGTACTCCATTGAATTTAAATTGTGGATTTTCGGGCCATATTTTTTTATGGACTTTAGGAAAGTGACATACAAGAATTAATGCATCGTGTCATATAGGAGAATATTCTACTATTTCATAGACCTCAGTATCAATTGCAAACATAATCCCGTGCACTTAGAAAAGAGAAATTCCTTTCTCATTCTTGAAAATTGTTTGGAATATTACCGTAAAACAAGCAGGATACGGAAACAAATTGAAGTGTAAAAAAAATCAACTAGGGGAAAAAACCCACAGCCGTTTCAGACTGATAGACTATACAAGATACATTAGTGAACAAAAGTTTACTCAGCCTAATGTTTCTATTCTTGTTGAAAAGACACCACCGAAAGTAATAGGCTTTTAGCTCTATTTTCCCACCTTTTCCCTAGCTCTCTTATATATTGATAATTATCATTTTGATATTTTGGGAGAATCCCAATGAATAATAGACCTCCATATGTTCAGGAGATGTTGATCAACAGATCGAGTTTGGTCAGTTAAGAAGATTTTTATGGACGGAATTGCAAGCTGCTACAAACAACTTTAGTGAGAAGAACCTTCTTGGACAGGGAGGCTTTGGGAAGGTGTACAAAGGAGTGCTCCCTGATAATACAAAGGTTGCTGTTAAACGGCTCACTGACTATGAGAGTCCTGATGTAGATGCTGCATTCTACCGTGAAGTTGAGATGATAAGTGTGGCCGTTCATCGGAATATCTTAAAGCTAATTGGCTTTTGCACCACTCTAACAGAGCGCTTTCTGGTATACCCTTTCATGCCGAATTTAAGTGTCGCCTATCGTTTACGAGGTACTACATATATTCTTAAAATAGCTAGAACTTTTTCATGGTGTTCATTAGTTATACAACAACAACAACAACAACCCAGTTAAATCCCACAAGAGTAGGGTCTGGGGAGGGTGTGTGTACGCAGACCTTACCCCTACTCGAAAGTAGAGAGGCTGTTTCCAAAGAGACCCCCGGCTCAACGTTGAAAGTTGCATTGCTTGACTAACTGCTACTTCATTAATTAAAGAAGCGCAGACAGTTTAGAAATCCATTTTGATTTATTCCATCACACTCCAAAGCCAAAAAATGGTGAAATTTTGGCTCCATCGGAGATGATGGAAATTAGTTATGCTCTCTGTTAATAATCATTGGTATACTTTCCGTTTCATTCGTCAATGACAGAACCAATGTTATGTTCTTATGTATACCAGTAATATTAAAATCATTTTTTTGAACTCCTCTAAGAGCAATACAACAAGCTTACATCATGCGTGCTGCACGGATTTTGAAAGACTAAGAAAATGGAATTTTGGGTGCAATGGTAAAAAACATAAATTACATTGCCGATCTCTTTCTGACAATGGAATTTTCTATTTTGAGTGTCATTTTGTTTGATCTAATGAGCTGAGGATACAACTTCAGAACTTAAACCTGGGGAGGCTGTTCTGGACTGGCCTACGAGATGGCGTGTGGCTTTGGGCACTGCACGTGGACTTGAATACTTGCATGAACATTGTAATCCAAAAATTATTCACCGCGATGTTAAGGCTGCAAATGTATTGTTGGATGAAGATTTTGAAGCTGTTGTGGGTGATTTTGGGCTGGCAAAGCTCGTGGATGTTAAAAGGACGGATGTGACAACTCAAGTACGCGGCACAATGGGACACATAGCTCCAGAATACTTGTCTACTGGTAAGTCATCAGAGAAAACTGATGTTTTTGGCTATGGAGTCATGCTTCTAGAGCTTGTAACAGGTCTACGTGTGATTGACTTCTCTCGCCCTGATGAAGAAGACGTGTTATTGCTTGATCATGTAAGTCAATAATGCCATTCACCTCTCCAATTTTTCTCTAACATACCCGGCATGATGCATAGAGAAACGAAGGAAATAGGCAGTGGATGATGTTTATGTTCATAATAATTACTCCTTCCCTTCCATAATAAACTTTAATTTTTTTTTCTCCATCCAGAAAAACTTTATACTTCTCTTATTTCGATCACTTTTGTAAATTTCGTGAAGTCAAGTGATAAAGTACATATATCTTTCATCTTTTGAAGGTTAAGAAACTGGAAAAAGAGAGACGGCTACATGACATTGTAGACGGAAACCTGAACATGAACTACAACATGGAAGAGGTAAAGATGATCATTCAGGTGGCTCTACTTTGCACCCACGCATCGCCCGAAGAACGACCCGCAATGTCGGCAGTAGTGAAAATGTTAGAAGGAGAGGGGCTTGCAGAGAGGTGGGAAGAGTGGCAGCGTAGTGAAGTGACACGCGGGCAGGACTACGAGCGGATACAGAGACGATTCGTGTGGGGCCCAGATTCATCCTTTAAACAGAGTGCTATTGAGTTGTCTGGTGCAAGATGATAATGTTGCTGGTTTTGTGTTTTTTTTTTTTTTGGTATTGGAAAATGGATTTGCTCATAAATTTGTATACTTTCTGGTAACTAAACTGTTTGGTCGATTCTGTCATCTGTGGAGTACATCCTCATTTTCTTGTGTATATGAAAATCTTTTGCTCTGCTTGATAATTAAATTGTCTCCTTGCTAAGGTATAAGCTATAAATGACTTCTGCAATTCATTCTCCTCCATGAAGTTAATGGAAAATGACTTTCCAATGCAAAGGAAAATCACTTGGCGAATACGGAGTATGAAAGTTTCTTTCCATTTTGCTGAATTTCTTCGCATATAAAGGCCAATTAAAGGGAAGGAAGAACACAGCAAACCTGGCCTTGAATGGGGTATGATAGAATTTGCCTTGAATAGGGTGTGTTAGAATTTAGGATTGGGTAGAGATAACTGGATTGAGTTATAAGACACTTGAGATGAACCACATTAAAAAATTGAATCCAATGGATTACATAGTTCAACTCAAGAACTTATATACCCATTATTTTCCTCACACTTTTCTGATGTGTGTACTCTTTAACGCTCCCCCTCAAGTAAACGACTGGACCATTTTGAATATAACTGGATGATCACTTGCAAATAGATTTCCATCCCCTTGGTTTTTTTATTGCCAACACCTAAAGGACCACGAGCCGTTGGATATGGACTTCCAGACGAGCAATCGTGTTAAACAGGCCACAGACCATTGGATACATACTCCATACGGACAACTGGGCTAAAAACAAACGGGCTGCTAGGAATGAACGTCTAGACGAACACCTTGACAAACGAGGTGGGCCAAAACTTGTCTCTGATACCATGATCGAATTTAGGATTGAGTAGAAATAACTAGATTGGGCTGTAAGACATTTGGGCTGAACCATATTAAAAGATTGAATTCAATCGATTACTTATTTAGTTCAACTGAAGAGCTTATATACCCATTATTTTTCTCACTTTTTCGATGTGGGATACTCTTTAAAAGGGTTCATGTTAATCAAGCTCGAAAGTAAGTTTTTTATAGGGAAAAAAGATTAAAGTAGGACTAAATTATTGAAAATATATCAAAATAAGAGCTCTATATTTTTATTTTCGAAATAAGAGTTAAAATGTATTTACATTACCAATCATGACCATGTACGTTACGAAAAATATAATAAAATCTTCACATACAGTGCTACATTACCACTGTGTGATCTCATATTTAGAAAAAAACAAGGAACTCATATTTTGGTACTTTGTCTATGTTTTACTCCTATTTAGGGTGATTTCTTTATATATAAACATTTATAAAAATAACCTCCTTTTATGTAAAATCGTTTCACATCACGGGACCAGGTACCTAGCACGCACGCCAAATAACAGAATTGGGCTTATAATTTAAGGCACGGGCCAAGCTCGAGCCAAAAACACTGGCCCGTGTACTTTAGGGCATGGCTTGGGCTTTATACTCAAGCCCACGGGCTTGCCCGGCCAGAATGAATAATAATATTTCTTGCTATTTTCGTCCTTGAGTATTTGTCCAATTATGACTTTTTTCGGTCAACTATTTTTAACTTTTGACTTAAAATTAAATAAAATATATACTATGTATTATATATTAACTTGACAAAGTAATATTCTAAAAATATTTGATATAATAAATCTAATTTATAGCAATATCTAATATCTAATACTCCCTCTGTCCCCCATAGATTTTCCCATTAGCCCTTTTTATTTGTCCCACATAGATCTTCTCATTACCTTTTTTAATAATTAAAATACCACAACTACTCTTACTTACTTTATTTATTACACCTTTTCCACCTTATTTAATACACCCCACCCATTTTCATTAAGGGTATTTTGGTAAACTTTCACCTTTTTTAAACTCTTCTTAAAAACCGCAAAAAGTCAAAACGAGAAGATCTTAAAGGGACGGAGGGAGTATCATTTTTATTTAATTTGAAATCAAAGTTTAACAATTTTAATCGAAAATGTTAAAATTGAAGAAATACTCAAGAACGCACAAAGCTCTCATTTTATAACAGTGAGAGAAATCATGATGCGGACATTTTTGGAGTTCATTTTTTTAAAATAAATTTGAGAAACCCACCCGCCGTGAATGGGTGATTCGTCATTTCCACCCACCCACCCACCCACCCGTGAATGTTGATTCAACGTTTCCACGATGGAATAGCTCCCTGCTGCTCCTCCCAATGTGATTTTTCATCTGATCATGTCCCCCTTCCCCTCCTCACTACCGTCCAAACCCCTCCATCACCCCAGATTCCTCACGGCCTACCAATTGCTTTTCTGCATTTCCATTTTCGCACCAACCAAACATACTTACTCCCTGGCCGATATCGTTGAAATTTATGCAGCTCAGGAGATGTATAAAACCCCCCGCCCCGCCCTCCTCCTCCGCCCGCCCCATCGCCATTATCAAACCCTTCACCAAACTCAAATCCACACTCATTCTAATGGCTGCTGTGCTCTCTCTCTCCCTTCTCTCCCTCCTCCTCTTCTTCTCCCTCTCCGCCGCATCCCGCCACCGTCAATTCCCACCGCCCGGTTCATCCGCCGCGAGCAGCGCCGTCATTCACGAGGCCTGCAAGGCCTCCCGTGACCCTCCCTCTTGCGAAACCTCACTTTCCAAATCAGATCTTCCCAGTTCCAACGTTTTGGAAGTAATTCAATCCGCCATTTCAGTGACCTCTCGGAATCTCGAAACGGGCCGGGCCATGGCACTGGAGATTCTTAAAGGGTTTTCCGGGAATCTGAGTGGGAGCAACGCCGCCAACAACTGCCTGGAATTCCTGAAATACGCCGAGTACCGGATCTCTCTGGCGAACCGGGCCTTGCCAGGCGGCGGCAGATTGAAGGACGCCCGGGCCTGGATGAGCTCCGCCCTGGTCTACCAGTACGACTGCTGGTCGGCGCTCAAGTACGTCAACACGACGTCCCTGGTCGGCCGGACGATGTCGTTCCTGGACTCCTCCCTGATCCGGTCCTGCAGTGATGCGCTTGCGATGATGGTGAATTTCGACATCCACGGCCAGAAAACCGAGTCATGGGGCCCGCCAAAGACAGAGCGGGACGGGTTCTGGGAGCCCGCACGAGATCCGTCTGGTTCCAATCTCGCCGGAGGTGTCCCCGCCGGCCTTAAGCCGGACGTGACGGTGTGCAAAGGAGGAAGTCAGTGTGATTATAAGACTGTACAAGAGGCAGTGAATGCCGCCCCAGATAATGAAGGGTCTGGCAAACAGTTTGTGATACTGATCAAGGCTGGTGTTTATGAAGAGATTGTCCGGGTTCCATTGGAGAAGAAAAATGTGGTGTTTCTCGGGGACGGCATGGGTAAAACCGTGATTACAGGGTCCATGAATGTCGGGCAGCAGGGTGTCACAACCTTCAACTCCGCCACCGTTGGCAAGTTTGTGTTTCTGTGTCACACAATCTTACACCAAATTAATGGCATCTATTAACGAATTCTTTGTTGCAGGCGTTGCTGGGGATGGTTTCATGGCCAGTGGTGTCACCTTCCAGAACACGGCTGTCCCTGATGCCCACCAAGCAGTGGCGTTCAGGTCGGATAGTGATCTTTCAGTTGTTGAAAACTGCGAATTTCTGGGCAACCAAGACACGCTCTACGCCCACGCCTTGCGCCAGTACTACAAGTCGTGCCGGATCCAAGGCAATGTGGACTTCATCTTTGGGAACTCGGCTGCTTTCTTCCAGGACTGCCTCGTCCTGGTGGCCCCCCGCCAGATCAATCCAGAGAAGGGGGAGAAGAACGCCGTGACAGCTCACGGCAGAATAGACGCTGCCCAATCAACCGGCTTCGTCTTCCAGAACTGCGTGATCAACGGGACTGATGCGTACATGGGCTTGTATTTCAGCAAGCCCAGTGCGCACAAGAATTACCTTGGCAGGCCGTGGAAGCAGTATTCCAGGACGGTGTTCATCCAGTGCACCTTGGAGGCTCTTGTAAGCCCACAGGGATGGCTGCCTTGGAGTGGTGATTTTGCATTGGACACGTTGTATTATGGCGAATTCGAGAACACAGGTGCTGGATCCAACACGTCGGGTCGGGTTCCGTGGAGTAGCCAGATTCCAGGCGAGCACGTTCGGTCTTACTCGGTCGGTAATTTCATCCAAGGTGATCAATGGATACCTACATCATCTTCTTGAGTTCAGAATTTGTGTGCAGATCCTGTCATGATTTTTAACATAATCTTCTTGAATTCAAAATGTATATTATACGGCGTATATGATTAGGTTAGGTGTTGGGTGAAGATCACCTGGCACCTAACTTCTGATTCTAAATGGTTGGGTTCATTCATTTTGAATTCAATCTTTACTCCCAAGAGTAGTATGCAGCCTATAAAGCATGCAGTAACAATATCACACAAAACATGTTGCATATGATAGTAGTTACTTTGATAGTATATTCATCTTTATTTTAATATCAAACATGTACAGAGTAATATATCGAGATATTTATTATTTTAAAACCATTTTTAAATTTTTTAATCGTATAAATGTTATTATGAATGCACGTCGGGCCGGCCCAAAGTTTTTAAGTACCCGTATGGGCTGGGCATGTATGATGTAAAATTTCGATCCAGCTCAAAACCGACGCGGCCTATACTCTAATTTCATACTCCGTACTTTATTCATTTCAAAAAAATTGTAACACTAGATTTTTCATGTTTGTACACATTTTATTTATACATATTCTTAGTCAAGGAAAAGAAACCATAAACTTTGTTTGTGGACTAATAGAATATTGAAGGATGACGAGTAATTTCAAAATTCAAATATTATGGAATATAAAAAAACAAAAAATCTGGAGTGCCTTAACCAGTGGATGTTTTTCTTCTGTGCTTATAAACTGGTCAAAGCTGCTTATAAGTTGTTTTTTAACCTATAAGTCAGCTGATAACACGTTTTCTTGTGCTTATAAGCCGACTTATAAGTTGTTTATAAGCTAGAAAAAATAAGTAGGTTTTACCGGCTTATTTTTAAGCTAATATTTTTTTCCGTTTTAATCAGATTATTTATAAAATTGTCCATCACCATTTATGAATATCCTAATATGACTTATCTATCAATTAAGTCACTTTATTTCCACTATAGAACATTTAACTTATAAGCAGCTTATATAGTGAAAAACTCTTTATCATTCCATAAGCACCGGCAGCAAAACTCTCACCCAAAACGCTATAGTGCTGCTGTATTTTGGGCAAATCTTCTCATAAAATGACTCAACAACAACAACCCAGTTGGATCCCACTACAGTAGGGTCTGGGGAGGGTGTGTGTACGCAGACCTTGCCCCTACTTGGAAGCAGGGAGGCTGTTTCCAAGAGACCGGATTGCTTCCCCACCGTCGGCAGGTCCCGGCTCATTCTCTCCGGGAATACCACCCTGTTGGCTCACCGTAGGGTGTGACGATTCGGCATCCCCCCCAGCTGACTGAATTGGGTAATGATGGAATCGACGGAACTGAGTCTGCAGGTAGGGGGACGGGACCGACCCGTAGGACCCCCCCTGAGGAGTAGAAGGTCCCACATCTTGGGACCCTTCCGTAATCCCAAACAAATCCTGCACGAATGATAAATGAAACCTAAATACAATAATACAATTCCACGAAAATCCTCATTAAATGTATAAAGATCAATCCGAAAATAAATGGGTGAGAAGCTAGTAGGTTGAGTAGGGATTTTTTTTTACAATAAACCTCGCCATTTCCCTCCCCGGCTCAACCTGCACAAAAAATATGATAAGGTATACAGTATAGCATGGATAAAACACCAAGTACAATGAAAAGAAAGTTCTACAAGCATTAATAAAAGATTCCAAACAAACACAACAAACTACAAAAACCTCTATAGCACCGAGTTCCTAACCAGCTACTCTAATCCTAGTTCTCAAAAGGTTCCTATCTAAAGCCATATCCTCAGTCAGGGTGAGAAGTCCTAAATCCTGTCTAATCACTTCCTTCCAATTCTTCTTAGGTCTACCCCTTCCCCTACTTCCCCCGAAAACCGTAATCCGCTCGCATCCCCGTACAGGGGCGTCAGCATCCCGCCGTCTCACATGACCAAACCATCTCAACCTCGCTTCCCGCAATTTATCTTCCACCGGCGCCATGCCTACCTGACGTCGGATAACTTCGTTCGAAATCCTATCCAACCTTGTCTTCCCACACATCCATCGTAACATCCGCATCTCCGCCGCATGCAGACGACGCACATGAGTCNTCTTGGCTCGGTAATCCAGGCTGATGGGGAGTTAGACGGGGATGTTGGACATCGTGTTGGAGTGGCTTGGGCCAAATGGCGGTTGGCTTCAGGGGTATTGTGTGACCCGAAGATTTCGCCCAGGATGAAAGGCAAGTTCTACCGATCCGTAGTCAGACCTGCTATGTTATATGGGGCAGAGTGTTGGGCGGTTAAGAAGACTCATGTGCGTCGTCTGCATGCGGCGGAGATGCGGATGTTACGATGGATGTGTGGGAAGACAAGGTTGGATAGGATTTCAAACGAAGTTATCCGACGTCAGGTAGGCATGGCGCCGGTGGAAGATAAATTGCGGGAAGCGAGGTTGAGATGGTTTGGTCATGTGAGACGGCGGGATGCTGACGCCCCTGTACGGGGATGCGAGCGGATTACGGTTTTCGGGGGAAGTAGGGGAAGGGGTAGACCTAAGAAGAATTGGAAGGAAGTGATTAGACAGGATTTAGGACTTCTCACCCTGACTGAGGATATGGCTTTAGATAGGAACCTTTTGAGAACTAGGATTAGAGTAGCTGGTTAGGAACTCGGTGCTATAGAGGTTTTTGTAGTTTGTTGTGTTTGTTTGGAATCTTTTATTAATGCTTGTAGAACTTTCTTTTCATTGTACTTGGTGTTTTATCCATGCTATACTGTATACCTTATCATATTTTTTGTGCAGGTTGAGCCGGGGAGGGAAATGGCGAGGTTTATTGTAAAAAAAAATCCCTACTCAACCTACTAGCTTCTCACCCATTTATTTTCGGATTGATCTTTATACATTTAATGAGGATTTTCGTGGAATTGTATTATTGTATTTAGGTTTCATTTATCATTCGTGCAGGATTTGTTTGGGATTACGGAAGGGTCCCAAGATGTGGGACCTTCTACTCCTCAGGGGGGGTCCTACGGGTCGGTCCCGTCCCCCTACCTGCAGACTCAGTTCCGTCGATTCCATCATTACCCAATTCAGTCAGCTGGGGGGGATGCCGAATCGTCACACCCTACGGTGAGCCAACAGGGTGGTATTCCCGGAGAGAATGAGCCGGGACCTGCCGACGGTGGGGAAGCAATCCGGTCTCTTGGAAACAGCCTCCCTGCTTCCAAGTAGGGGCAAGGTCTGCGTACACACACCCTCCCCAGACCCTACTGTAGTGGGATCCAACTGGGTTGTTGTTGTTGAGTCATTTTATGAGAAGATTTGCCCAAAATACAGCAGCACTATAGCGTTTTGGGTGAGAGTTTTGCTGCCGGTGCTTATGGAATGATAAAGAGTTTTTCACTATATAAGCTGCTTATAAGTTAAATGTTCTATAGTGGAAATAAAGTGACTTAATTGATAGATAAGTCATATTAGGATATTCATAAATGGTGATGGACAATTTTATAAATAATCTGATTAAAACGGAAAAAAATATTAGCTTAAAAATAAGCCGGTAAAACCTACTTATTTTTTCTAGCTTATAAACAACTTATAAGTCGGCTTATAAGCACAAGAAAACGTGTTATCAGCTGACTTATAGGTTAAAAAACAACTTATAAGCAGCTTTGACCAGTTTATAAGCACAGAAGAAAAACATCCACTGGTTAAGGCACTCCAGATTTTTTGTTTTTTTATATTCCATAATATTTGAATTTTGAAATTACTCGTCATCCTTCAATATTCTATTAGTCCACAAACAAAGTTTATGGTTTCTTTTCCTTGACTAAGAATATGTATAAATAAAATGTGTACAAACATGAAAAATCTAGTGTTACAATTTTTTTGAAATGAATAAAGTACGGAGTATGAAATTAGAGTATAGGCCGCGTCGGTTTTGAGCTGGATCGAAATTTTACATCATACATGCCCAGCCCATACGGGTACTTAAAAACTTTGGGCCGGCCCGACGTGCATTCATAATAACATTTATACGATTAAAAAATTTAAAAATGGTTTTAAAATAATAAATATCTCGATATATTACTCTGTACATGTTTGATATTAAAATAAAGATGAATATACTATCAAAGTAACTACTATCATATGCAACATGTTTTGTGTGATATTGTTACTGCATGCTTTATAGGCTGCATACTACTCTTGGGAGTAAAGATTGAATTCAAAATGAATGAACCCAACCATTTAGAATCAGAAGTTAGGTGCCAGGTGATCTTCACCCAACACCTAACCTAATCATATACGCCGTATAATATACATTTTGAATTCAAGAAGATTATGTTAAAAATCATGACAGGATCTGCACACAAATTCTGAACTCAAGAAGATGATGTAGGTATCCATTGATCACCTTGGATGAAATTACCGACCGAGTAAGACCGAACGTGCTCGCCTGGAATCTGGCTACTCCACGGAACCCGACCCGACGTGTTGGATCCAGCACCTGTGTTCTCGAATTCGCCATAATACAACGTGTCCAATGCAAAATCACCACTCCAAGGCAGCCATCCCTGTGGGCTTACAAGAGCCTCCAAGGTGCACTGGATGAACACCGTCCTGGAATACTGCTTCCACGGCCTGCCAAGGTAATTCTTGTGCGCACTGGGCTTGCTGAAATACAAGCCCATGTACGCATCAGTCCCGTTGATCACGCAGTTCTGGAAGACGAAGCCGGTTGATTGGGCAGCGTCTATTCTGCCGTGAGCTGTCACGGCGTTCTTCTCCCCCTTCTCTGGATTGATCTGGCGGGGGGCCACCAGGACGAGGCAGTCCTGGAAGAAAGCAGCCGAGTTCCCAAAGATGAAGTCCACATTGCCTTGGATCCGGCACGACTTGTAGTACTGGCGCAAGGCGTGGGCGTAGAGCGTGTCTTGGTTGCCCAGAAATTCGCAGTTTTCAACAACTGAAAGATCACTATCCGACCTGAACGCCACTGCTTGGTGGGCATCAGGGACAGCCGTGTTCTGGAAGGTGACACCACTGGCCATGAAACCATCCCCAGCAACGCCTGCAACAAAGAATTCGTTAATAGATGCCATTAATTTGGTGTAAGATTGTGTGACACAGAAACACAAACTTGCCAACGGTGGCGGAGTTGAAGGTTGTGACACCCTGCTGCCCGACATTCATGGACCCTGTAATCACGGTTTTACCCATGCCGTCCCCGAGAAACACCACATTTTTCTTCTCCAATGGAACCCGGACAATCTCTTCATAAACACCAGCCTTGATCAGTATCACAAACTGTTTGCCAGACCCTTCATTATCTGGGGCGGCATTCACTGCCTCTTGTACAGTCTTATAATCACACTGACTTCCTCCTTTGCACACCGTCACGTCCGGCTTAAGGCCGGCGGGGACACCTCCGGCGAGATTGGAACCAGACGGATCTCGTGCGGGCTCCCAGAACCCGTCCCGCTCTGTCTTTGGCGGGCCCCATGACTCGGTTTTCTGGCCGTGGATGTCGAAATTCACCATCATCGCAAGCGCATCACTGCAGGACCGGATCAGGGAGGAGTCCAGGAACGACATCGTCCGGCCGACCAGGGACGTCGTGTTGACGTACTTGAGCGCCGACCAGCAGTCGTACTGGTAGACCAGGGCGGAGCTCATCCAGGCCCGGGCGTCCTTCAATCTGCCGCCGCCTGGCAAGGCCCGGTTCGCCAGAGAGATCCGGTACTCGGCGTATTTCAGGAATTCCAGGCAGTTGTTGGCGGCGTTGCTCCCACTCAGATTCCCGGAAAACCCTTTAAGAATCTCCAGTGCCATGGCCCGGCCCGTTTCGAGATTCCGAGAGGTCACTGAAATGGCGGATTGAATTACTTCCAAAACGTTGGAACTGGGAAGATCTGATTTGGAAAGTGAGGTTTCGCAAGAGGGAGGGTCACGGGAGGCCTTGCAGGCCTCGTGAATGACGGCGCTGCTCGCGGCGGATGAACCGGGCGGTGGGAATTGACGGTGGCGGGATGCGGCGGAGAGGGAGAAGAAGAGGAGGAGGGAGAGAAGGGAGAGAGAGAGCACAGCAGCCATTAGAATGAGTGTGGATTTGAGTTTGGTGAAGGGTTTGATAATGGCGATGGGGCGGGCGGAGGAGGAGGGCGGGGCGGGGGGTTTTATACATCTCCTGAGCTGCATAAATTTCAACGATATCGGCCAGGGAGTAAGTATGTTTGGTTGGTGCGAAAATGGAAATGCAGAAAAGCAATTGGTAGGCCGTGAGGAATCTGGGGTGATGGAGGGGTTTGGACGGTAGTGAGGAGGGGAAGGGGGACATGATCAGATGAAAAATCACATTGGGAGGAGCAGCAGGGAGCTATTCCATCGTGGAAACGTTGAATCAACATTCACGGGTGGGTGGGTGGGTGGGTGGAAATGACGAATCACCCATTCACGGCGGGTGGGTTTCTCAAATTTATTTTAAAAAAATGAACTCCAAAAATGTCCGCATCATGATTTCTCTCACTGTTATAAAATGAGAGCTTTGTGCGTTCTTGAGTATTTCTTCAATTTTAACATTTTCGATTAAAATTGTTAAACTTTGATTTCAAATTAAATAAAAATGATACTCCCTCCGTCCCTTTAAGATCTTCTCGTTTTGACTTTTTGCGGTTTTTAAGAAGAGTTTAAAAAAGGTGAAAGTTTACCAAAATACCCTTAATGAAAATGGGTGGGGTGTATTAAATAAGGTGGAAAAGGTGTAATAAATAAAGTAAGTAAGAGTAGTTGTGGTATTTTAATTATTAAAAAAGGTAATGAGAAGATCTATGTGGGACAAATAAAAAGGGCTAATGGGAAAATCTATGGGGGACAGAGGGAGTATTAGATATTAGATATTGCTATAAATTAGATTTATTATATCAAATATTTTTAGAATATTACTTTGTCAAGTTAATATATAATACATAGTATATATTTTATTTAATTTTAAGTCAAAAGTTAAAAATAGTTGACCGAAAAAAGTCATAATTGGACAAATACTCAAGGACGAAAATAGCAAGAAATATTATTATTCATTCTGGCCGGGCAAGCCCGTGGGCTTGAGTATAAAGCCCAAGCCATGCCCTAAAGTACACGGGCCAGTGTTTTTGGCTCGAGCTTGGCCCGTGCCTTAAATTATAAGCCCAATTCTGTTATTTGGCGTGCGTGCTAGGTACCTGGTCCCGTGATGTGAAACGATTTTACATAAAAGGAGGTTATTTTTATAAATGTTTATATATAAAGAAATCACCCTAAATAGGAGTAAAACATAGACAAAGTACCAAAATATGAGTTCCTTGTTTTTTTCTAAATATGAGATCACACAGTGGTAATGTAGCACTGTATGTGAAGATTTTATTATATTTTTCGTAACGTACATGGTCATGATTGGTAATGTAAATACATTTTAACTCTTATTTCGAAAATAAAAATATAGAGCTCTTATTTTGATATATTTTCAATAATTTAGTCCTACTTTAATCTTTTTTCCCTATAAAAAACTTACTTTCGAGCTTGATTAACATGAACCCTTTTAAAGAGTATCCCACATCGAAAAAGTGAGAAAAATAATGGGTATATAAGCTCTTCAGTTGAACTAAATAAGTAATCGATTGAATTCAATCTTTTAATATGGTTCAGCCCAAATGTCTTACAGCCCAATCTAGTTATTTCTACTCAATCCTAAATTCGATCATGGTATCAGAGACAAGTTTTGGCCCACCTCGTTTGTCAAGGTGTTCGTCTAGACGTTCATTCCTAGCAGCCCGTTTGTTTTTAGCCCAGTTGTCCGTATGGAGTATGTATCCAATGGTCTGTGGCCTGTTTAACACGATTGCTCGTCTGGAAGTCCATATCCAACGGCTCGTGGTCCTTTAGGTGTTGGCAATAAAAAAACCAAGGGGATGGAAATCTATTTGCAAGTGATCATCCAGTTATATTCAAAATGGTCCAGTCGTTTACTTGAGGGGGAGCGTTAAAGAGTACACACATCAGAAAAGTGTGAGGAAAATAATGGGTATATAAGTTCTTGAGTTGAACTATGTAATCCATTGGATTCAATTTTTTAATGTGGTTCATCTCAAGTGTCTTATAACTCAATCCAGTTATCTCTACCCAATCCTAAATTCTAACACACCCTATTCAAGGCAAATTCTATCATACCCCATTCAAGGCCAGGTTTGCTGTGTTCTTCCTTCCCTTTAATTGGCCTTTATATGCGAAGAAATTCAGCAAAATGGAAAGAAACTTTCATACTCCGTATTCGCCAAGTGATTTTCCTTTGCATTGGAAAGTCATTTTCCATTAACTTCATGGAGGAGAATGAATTGCAGAAGTCATTTATAGCTTATACCTTAGCAAGGAGACAATTTAATTATCAAGCAGAGCAAAAGATTTTCATATACACAAGAAAATGAGGATGTAC